TCAACCCGTGATAGTTGTAAGGGTTAAATTGCATCACCCAAGTCAACCCGTGATAGTTGTAAGGCTTAAATTGCATCACCCAAGTCAACCCGTGATAGTTGTAAGGCTTAAATTGCATCACCCAAGTCAACCCGTGATAGTTGTAAGGCTTAAATTGCATCACCCAAGTCAACCCGTGATAGTTGTAAAGCTTAAATTGCATCACCCAAGTCAACCCGTGATAGTTGTAAAGGTTAAATTGCACCACCTTCACTTTCTAATATTACAAGTTTATGTCATCTAGTAACAGCGTTTGATCACGTTGTTGATGTCCTGTAGGGATAGTGTTACAAGTGTGATCACGTTGTTAATATCCTTTTGTGATAGTGTTACAAGTGTGATCACGTTGTTACTATCACTATAGGACATCGACAACGTGATCACACTTGTAACACTATCACTACAGGACATCACGTGATCACACTTGCAACACTATCACTACAGGACATCACGTGATCACACTTGCAACACTATCACTACAGGACATCAACAACGTGATCACACTTGTAACACTATCACAAAAGGATATTAACAACGTGATTACACTTGTAACACTATCACTACAGGACATCAACAACGTGATCACACTTGTAACACTATCACTACAGGACATCAACAACGTGATCACACTTGTAACACTATCACTACAGGACATCGTTACAAGTGTGATCACGTTGTCGATGTCCTGTAGTGATAGTGTTACAAGTGTGATCACGTTGTTGATGTCCTGTAGTGATAGTGTTACAAGTGTGATCACGTTGTTGATGTCCTGTAGTGATAGTGTTACAAGTGTGATCACGTTGTTGATGTCCTGTAGTAATAGTGTTACAAGTGTGATCACGTTGTTGATGTCCTATATTGATAGTGTTACAAGTGTGATCACGTTGTCGGTGTCCTATATTGATAGTGTTACAAGTGTGATCACGTTGTAGATGTCCTATATTGATAGTGTTACAAGTGTGATCACGTTGTCGGTGTCCTATATTGATAGTGTTACAAGTGTGATCACGTTGTAGATGTCCTATATTGATAGTGTTACAAGTGTGATCACGTTGTCGATGTCCTATAGTGATAGTGTTACAAGTGTGATCACGTTGTTGATGTCCTGTAGTGATAGTGTTACAAGTGTGATCACGTTGTTGATGTCCTGTAGTAATAGTGTTACAAGTGTGATCACGTTGTTGATGTCCTGTAGTGATTGTGTTACAAGTGTGATCACGTTGTTGATGTCCTATAGTGATAGTGTTACAACTGTGATCACGTTGTTGATGTCCTGTAGTGATAGTGTTACAAGTGTGATCACGTTATAGATGTCCTGTAGTGATAGTGTTACAAGTGTGATCACGTTGTTAATATCCTTTTGTGATAGTGTTACAAGTGTGATCACGTTATAGATGTCCTATAGTGAT